TGTAAGTTCTTAATGTGTATGCCAAGTTTCATTTACAATACAGTACAATAAGTTACAATACAATACAATGCAATTAGAGAGGGACCGAAAGTAATTTTCTGATTTTGGCCGAAACCGAAAAATACCGAAAGTTTAAAAATTACTTTCGGCCGAAACCGAAAAAATACCGAAAGTTAAAAATGACTTTTGGCCGAAACCGAAGCATAAGCCGAAACCGAAAATGAAATATTGAGATATTTTGGAATTCGTTCCCGTATACATTCTGCATACATCTGTACCAGTGTTTTAGACCCAGTAGACAGATATGGTAAAAAAAAAAAAAAAAAAAAAAAAAAAAAAAACCCCAAAAAAAAATAAATGACTTTTGGCCGAAACCGAAGCATAAGCCGAAACCGAAAATGAAATATTGAGATATTTTGGAATTCGTTCCCGTATACATTCTGCATACATCTGTACCAGTGTTTTAGACCCAGTAGAAAGATATGGTAAAAAAAAAAAAAAAAAAAAAAGAAAGTCTAGTCCTCCAAAAATAAGTCTCTTTTGCATGCTTTATACAATGGCCTCCTTTAAGATGTTAATTCCAACTACCTTGTGAATTAGGTCAAGTCAAATATGAGAAAGATTGTTGAAGGTTAAGGAGATTCGAGATATCAGGAAAAACAGTCAGTGGCCGCATGTATCACTCCCAGTGCCAAGGAAAAAGTTTAAAATTGGTGGTTTTGTTATGACTAAGCCAAGCTCTCTTGAGGAATAATCGAAATTAATTCAGTATGAAGGAAATTATCATTATTTAAAATACCTAATTAATTCATAAAGTACTGTGTCATTAAATCTTTTACCTTTAACTTAAACAATACACATTAATAATCTTAATTAAAGAATTAAAGAATTTAATTTTAATTATTAAATTAATATTATTACTTTTCTAAAATTCAAATGAAAACAATAAAGGTATCTAAATCATCTTGATTACTAGATTTAAAAAAAAATGATCTACGAAAATGGGTTAAACTAAAAAAATAAAATAAGAAAGAAAAAAAAACCTACCTGTTCTAAGAAATTTAAAGCAAAAAAAAAAACAACAACAAAAAAAAAACAACCAAAAAAGAATAAAACTATGAATCTATGAGATAAGGAGAAAAAAACACTTTTTAAAAAAAATTCTCATACTATTATTGTTATCACACCCGGCTCCGAAGCCATTTAATCTGTATGGAGCCAAACCGGGTCCAAAAGCTAATTGTGGCTAAATGTACCCGGGTACCTATAGGTGCAGCCTAAAAATTATTGTGCTTAAATACTTCTCAATGTGCTTAAATGCTTCTCAAAATCTCACGGAGGAGCATATATCTATTCTACATCATACAGAACATTTCAGAATCCAAGAGATAGTAAAATGAATATTAATTACTATTTTTAATCAGAATGTTAATTCGGCTTGCGATATTCATAACATTTGAACCGTGACATTAGAGGAAGGCTATCTACCGTATGCTTAAATTGGGGTTGAAAGTTTAAGTGTCTCGTCTTGAGGCTTTTGTGTGTAACTCAAGACTCGTGCAGTTCAGAGAAAACTCCGAGTGTCACGACAATTTGGGATATTATACAAAATAAACACATGTAATAATGTATCGAATGAGATCGAAGAGATCTAAATAATCTCAAGCTTATGTGCTACTACAGGCTACAGGACTAACTCCGGTGTTCGTTGCATAATTACTGTACTTTTGGCGACTTGGTAAAGAAGTTTGAGTTGAATGGGGCGGGGGGGGGGGATAAGTCATGTGACTCCAAATTATAGACATGCATTTTATGTGCTACTACAGGCTACAGGACTAACTCCGGTGTTCGTTGCATAATTACTGTACTTTTGGCGACTTGGTAAAGAAGTTTGAGTTGAATGGGGCGGGGGGGGGGGGATAAGTCATGTGACTCCAAATTATAGACATGCATGTAGCCATGTGATCACAGACACCGTGGGCAGCAGGCACTTCATGAAAAAAAGCTTGTTTTTCAACGGTTCTCAATCTGGACATCAAAGCCACATGTCGAATTTAAATTAAAGCCATGTATGGCGCATTTTATAATGAAAGCATTCAATCCAGAGAACAATGTCAAATATAAAAAATAATCATCTATTAGTCGCTATAGACTCACTCAATTTATTGTCAAGTTTAGTTTAGTGGGTGAGACTGTGAGTTACACTGACAAATGCAAACTTGTCGGTTTTTAAGTTTCTCTTTCAAATGATCTAAATAATTATATTATTGGATTTATTACAATTCTGAACTTATTTAAAAAAAAAAAAAACAGATTTGTAAAATTTAAAAATGTTTTCTTTTTTAATAATTTTTAATAATAATTATTTTGTTATATTCTATGAAGGTCATATCAAGGAAAAACATGAATGTGACGTGACTATCCGGATCCAGACATTTCCCATTGTCCAATCTCAGGAACACTTCTAGCAAAAGATATTTCACAAATCCCTCATAATGACCGACATCTGACCACTTAATGACACACTGCATCCAAATTACTGTAATAATCAGGATTTACGGGCTCTAGAGCACTCTACATTTGCTGCTGCTTTAATCTCACGCACCGATCTCAATAATAAAATAAATAATAGACCTTTCTGGTTACGCAACCATAAATACCATGTCATAAACCATAACATGTAACAGAAATAGCCAGATTCCTGTAATTGTACACTTTCATTTCGTGTAATTTGACAGCAGAACTCTGAGCTTACTCCTCAATAATCAGAGGTCAGTCCGCCTAGGCTCAACTGTGTATTTTTTTTTATTTTTTAGATTTAAAAAGAAATGTTTTTTGGTTAAGCTCAGAGATTAACGCACTGCTATAAGAGGGAATAGTTGTCTGGATTATTTATGGGAAGATTTCAAACACTTTGTTGAAATACATCATATATAGCTGAGCTTCATTTTGGTAAGCAAACTTACAGGTGCTTAAAATTGTCCCTTGCATGTCTATACATAGAGACACTTTCGTACACAGGGTCTGTCTCCGTAATGTAAATATATCATACTCTATCAATTTATTTTTTTTTTAAATCCAAAAATCAGCCCTTTGAGACTCTTTGAGGAAATTAAGACACATGACCAATTTGTATATGTAATGATTCACGGGATTAATGCTCTCTTCTCTTCAGTGGTGGACTGCAGTGTTCAAGTGAACCGGAGTGTCCCAAACAAAGGAAAACGCCCGTGGCATAACAAATAGTTAAAAAGAAAGATTTCCTCAATGTGTGCCCATATTTTCACGTACTTGGAGATAAAACTCGTGCGCGGAAAAATATAGCAATTTTATGCAGTCATGTTACGAGCGCATTTAATCAGATTTACACCATGCAGGGTTCCACAGATTCACACCTGGGTTCCACAGACTTACACCAGGGTTCCACAGACTTACACCAGGGTTCCACAGATTTACACCTGGGCTCAACAGATTTACACCAAGGTGCCACAAAATTGCCCCCGGGGTTCCACGGATTTACACCTGGGTTCCACAGATTTACACCTGGGTTCCACGGATTTACACCTGGGTTCCACGGATTTACACCTTGGTTGCTTATATTTACACCTGGGTTCCACAGTTTACTCCTGCCTATATTTCATATTGATTTTAAATTGTTTTTGTGTTTATTGGTGTCATCAGGTTTCCGATGGCGTTCCCATGCACCACAACGGCTGTGATGCTGATGATCGCCTCCTGCTTTCTGCCAGGGTACGCCACTGACACTGAGCGAGACGTCCACTGTACCAGACCGCCCCCTGGTAGCGAAAAGATGATACGGGGAGTGGACATCACCAGACTTGACCTGGTCCCACTGGAGATGGTCGGAAACAACGGCTTTATGAGCCCGGTTCTCAAATTTTCCTGCAACCAGGGCCGGCTTTGGAGGCACCCGGGGGGCCAGGAGTACGAGCAGCCTGACCAGGTGCATATTTCTGTTGTCCTGTGCAGTGGCATAGCACCCCGGGGTACATCTTGGGGCTCATATACATAATATAATATAAATGATGTGTGTGTGTGTATCAGGAGGGTGCACATTTAGAGGATCGCCCCGAGCCCATTTAGTTAAAGTACTCCACTGTTCTTATGTTGTGTTACTGGCTTCGCTTGTGTCTGCGTTTTGAAGTGATGTCAACTTCGATCGTGGTATGCGTGAATTGTCAGTGAACACCATTTCAACGATGCATCAATGGTCAATGTACACCATTTCAATAACAGTAATGTGTACGCAATTTCAATAACAGTAATGTGTACACCATTTCAAATTAAACGGTCAGTGTACACCATTTCAACGATGTATACATTTTCAATGATGTATATATATATATATATATATATATATATATATATATATATATATATATATATATATATATATAATAGGACCACTAGAATGTAGACATCAGACAAGAAAATCTGTATGTAATAAGTTTTATATATGCACCCCAACACCTCAACACATTTTGCGCTAACATCCTCTTTCCCCTCACGCACCATTTAACTCAGGTTATATATATATAATAGGACCACTAGAATGTAGACATCAGTCAAGAAAATCTGTATGTAATAAGTTTTATATATGCACCACAACACCTCAACACATTTTGCGCTAACATCCTCTTTCCCCTCACGCACCATTTAACTCAGGGCTTTTATTATCATGTGTGTGCGTCTTATTTGAAAGGGGAACAAGAGAAACATGAGTTTGGCGCACTCGTCTCAATGTTATTCTAAATATGTGGTTGACGTGCAGCTATATGTGTGGAATGCGTGTTATTGTCAAATAAAATAATGTTATGTTATTCATACGCCAATTGCCATTCAATGTTGGGTGATTTTTTTTTTTTTTTCAAATAAAAAAATATCAGGCCCTAAAGGTATGAACATTTCAAAACCGTTTTTCCGCTAAGCTTTATTTAGATTATATCTGCGTTAAAATTTGTGCAACAGCCGCCCACTTTATGTCTTCCCAGATCTGGCACATCACCACGCTGCCCGGCGGACAACTCTCGGTCGACGTGTCACTGTACAAGACCTACAACGACATCAGGCGGACGCTGACCAGGGAGGTCGGCGGCTCGGGAGCCTTGTGGAACTTCGCCTTCTCCGGCAGCTACTCTTACAAGAAGATGCAGAACACCATCACCAACACGTCCCGGTACATTTGCGACTCGGCGTCGTTCGAATCGGCGACGCGAGCGGACGTCAACCCTGGCTGGGGAATGGACATGGACCCCTTCGCTCAAAAGTTTGTTGACCTCAAGCTGAACGGAAGCTTTGAGGCGAACCCTGGCCCGTACAACAAGTTCATCAAAGAATTCGGGACGCACTACTTCGCGTCTGCCAATTTCGGGGGCTACATCCGGTCAGTTCTCGAAACGTCAACGAAATATTTCTACACCAAGAGTGATAGCGACGCGCAGGCCAATGCAAAAATTTCATTTCTAAACATCCTGTCCATTAGCGGGGGTCAGTCCACGTCTAGCGGAAAATCGGACGAGAATTTTCTTAATTCGACAACGCAGACGGTAAGATATTACGGCGGCGACACCAACCTGCTGACCAACCAGGGGCTGAGCTCGTGGCAACCCACCGTTGAGATCGACCCGTGGTTGTTCTCTGGACATCTCAAGCCGATCAGCGACCTTATCGCGGACGACACCAAGAGGGAGGCCATGGTGCAAGCTGTCGAAAACTACGTCATGCGGAGTTTCTTGGATGAGCAGGAGAGGCTGATCCACACGGCCAGATCCAAGGTGGATGACGAGGTGCTGACGTCACTTAAAGCCAGGATCGATGAGATGAAGAGGAAATCTCTCCTTGACGAGACCGAGGTGGAAACCCTGGGCAGTGAGGTTGAAGAGCAGTTCCAAGTCCCCGGCTGGTTTGTGTCCAACACCAACTTCTGCTTCAAGTGGTGGGCGGACGGGAACGAAAAACAGTGCGGTGGCGGTGTCGCCAACACGCTGTGCGCCAAGCCCAACACCATGACGGACGTCTACCGGGACACGACGGACACAAGGGGCGGGGGGTGCCGCATGCAGTGGGGGATCCACTCCATGGGCTACCCGGCGTGGTTCAACCAGGTGAGGGTCTGCTTCCAGTGGTCGGCCGACGGCGACGGCGGTCAGTGTGGGGGCGGGGCCGAGCCCCTCTTGTGCGCCGGGGTCAACGAGTTCTCCCCCGAGTACCGCGACGACACCGACAACCGTCCAGGGGGCTGCATAATGCAGTGGAAGCTCGAGGTTCCCGGCTCCGCCCCTCTCTGGATGAAGACCGCCCGGATGTGCTTCTCGTGGTACCACGACGGCGACAGCGGCCAGTGCACGGCCAAGACGAGGAACATGTGCGCCATCGCCAACCAGTGGACCGAGGTCTACCGCGAGGATACGGACAATCGGTCTGGAGGTTGCAGGATGAGCTGGGGAATCAAGCTTCTGTTTTAACATTGACTTTACTTTCATTGAGTCCATGGAGTCCATTATGTCCATTGAGGCCATTGACCTAAAAAAACACACCATTTTTTAAACAACCTTTTAAAAATGACTGTCTCTTAAAGACGAGTTTAAATGCGCTAAAAAAAAAAAAAAAAAAAAAAAAAACACCAATTTTTTTAAAAAATTTTTTAAAAAAAGATTTTTTTAAAAAAAGATTTAAAAAGAAAAAAAAAAAAAAAAAAAAAAAAAAAAAAGGAAAAGAATTATTTAAAATGTATTAAAATGTATTAGGGTACGCAAAGAAAGTATGAGCAGAAGTGTAGAAAAAAGACTCTGTGAATCTGTCAAGCCAGAGGATTCGAATTAAGTGTTGACGAAATTTAATATGTTTCATTTTTATTAATCTAAAATATATTTCTTTTTTCTAAACAATTTCTTCGGTAATGGCATTTTAAGAAATTATGACGTCGTCCCCCCCCCCCCAACCTCAAAAAGAAAATGTATACAACATTATTAATTATTGCACACTTTTAATTTCTTGTACTTCATCATAGGTTTTATTATATTATTTAATGTGCAATTTATAGCTTTTTATTTTCAATATTAAGAAAAAAATTATTTCATGTCAACATTTTGCATTTTAATTCTTTTAATACACAAGATTTAAATTGTAAAAAAATTAATTAGACCTTTAAATTAGACCTATACATTAGACCTAAAAATTAAACCTATAAATTAGACCTATAAATTAGACCTATAAAGTAGACCTATAAATTAGACCTATAAATTAGACCTATACATTAGAATTATAAATGAGACCTATACATTAGACCTATAAATTAGACCTAAAAATTAGACCTATACATTAGACTGTGGTAGCTGGGTGGCCGAGCGGTCTAAACTGTCTCAAACGAAATAGCTGGTGGTCTGGAGTTCAATCCCCACCAACCAAAGCCATCCCAAGCAACCCGGGTGGATGGGACTCGTTAGCCTTGGACGGCAACCTGTCTAAGAGAAGGCAAACTCTGAATTTAAAACCAGGAGCCAGAATGATCAACAAATTGATCGTGGGCACCTCAAATATAAGAAGAAGAAGAGACCTATAAATTAGACCTATACTTTAGACCAAAAAATTAGACCTATAAATTAGACCATATAAACGCAAAAGAAAGACCATGCTTAAAACACATTATGAGAATGTACATTCACATTTCCTGTCCTTCATTGCTGGCAATTAATTAATTTTAATTATAAAGAAATATAAAAATCCTTACGGGACATTGTCTTTACATAATTGATAATGACATGAGATTGTCCTATTGATGATATGAACGTTAGTAATAAAAAAAGATCGAATTTCTTCTTCAGCTATAAATGTGTGCTTCTCTAAACTCTAAAACAATGGCTGCGTCTCTTTACTGTGACATCACTGCGTTCAAGTAACACTTCCTATTTCTTCATCACGTGGGTTTGACAATCTTACCGTGACGCCATGTTTAGTCTTCCACGAAGTAAAGTAATTTAAAATAATTTATGCATTAAATTTATCCATTGTGTTTCTTCTCATATTACACAAAGAATTACATTCTTTTTTTTCTTTTTTTTTTTTTTTTTTTTTTTTTTTTTTATAATTTTTTTTTTTTTTTTTTTATTTTTTTTTTTTTTTTTTTTTTTTACTTCCCTGTGCATACATTCACTGAACTCACTGATGACAAAATATATTTAAAATGATAATAGTAATGTCCAATTCTTTTTTTTTTTTTTTTTTTTTTTTTTTTTTTTTACTTCCCTGTGCATACATTCACTGAACTCACTGATGACAAAATATATTTAAAATGAAAATAGTAATGTCCAAACAAAGTCTTATTAACATACATATATAACTATTTTAACACACGCTTATGTATCGCGTTGTAAGGGCAATTATTAAAAGACATTATTCGATGAAATAGTTTCATTCTATTAAATTAATTTGCCAAGCTTATATAAAGAAAGAAAACCCTGTGTATTTCCCTGTGGCGTGCCGCACCACTTCCTTCCATTCAGACCCTCCATTCTTGCATGGCGCTACAACCCGTGTAGGGCTTTGGCCTGTCTGACCCATTCCTCCACTCTGACCTACAGTTGCTACACTTTTTTTTGCTTGGATTCCAAATATCCGTTCCCACACCATTCCTCCATCTAAGTCTATAGGTCTGCCTTTGAGCCGTTTTCCTCTAGACCTCTAGGCCTTCGATGGTGTTAGAATCCTCTTCATTCCTCTGTAATCTGGCATTCTTTATAAGTGTCCCGCCCAGCGAAGCCTGCACTTTATTATTGCTGCTCCTGGCACTAGCTTGGATACTTGTATAGTCCATACAATTCCTGGTTAGTTCGTATTATCCATCCATATTCATCCTTTTTTGGCCCATACATTATTATTATTTTTTTTTTTCAATTTCACTTTTTTTTCCTGTTGAATTATTGTGTTATTTTTATATAATTTTTAAAATTAAAAATAACGAATAGCCATGAAGACCAACAAAGGTAAAAGGTTTTGTTTCGATAAAAGTTTATTCATTATATGAACTAGAAAAAACAACAAGAAGAATGCACCCTATTCATACATTGTTAAGTTCACGTATTTTGGTATTGACACCTCTATAAATGGGGTCTGCACCCCTATGCCTATTGTTGTGATGCCACTGAAGCGCTCTAATGTATAGCTAAATAAACTCATAGTTCCTTTGCTGCAATTTTGAATCATGTTTTTTATTATAATAATGTATATTTAATGATTTGTTTTTGTGCTCGTTTTCGTTGAGTTCTTAAAAGAACTCTTGTTAAGAGCAACTCTTCTCAAAAGCAACTCTTCTTAAAAGCAACTTTTGTTAAAAGCAACTCTTGTTAAAAGCAGCTCTTCTTAAAAGCAACTCTTGTTATGAGCACCTCTTGCATTTCAAAGCAGACTAATCAAAGACATCATTTAATGTTTAAAATGAAAATGGGGCCACAAATTTAAACATTAATTGAAATCGTTTTAGAAGTACATGTCTTCTCATACCGAAGGCTGAATAACTTTATAGCCTGAAAATAGACGGCTTTTGACAGTTGCGTCCCTTGTAGTGTTCTGGTCCATTCATATGTTTCAATATTTTCCTTATTTCCTACATTAGGGGAGTCCATAACCAGTGTTCTGAATATATCAAATATGTTGCTTTAAATAGATTTTCAATCTTGCATCTGCAAACATAGATCAAATAGTCATTGAACCATTTTTTACATGGGCTCCTGGTAACATACAGTGCCACGAGATCTGATGACCGTACAGTGTCACGTCATCTGATGACCGTACAGTACCACGAGATCTGATGACTGTACAGTACCACGTGATCTGATGACCATACAGTGCCACGTAATCTGATGACCGTACAGTGTCATGTGATCTGATGACCATACAGTGCTACGTGATCTGATGACATACAGTACCATGAGATCTGATTACCGTACAGTGCCACGTGATCTGAAAACCGTACAGTGTCACGTGACCTGATGACCGAACAGTACCACGAGATCTGATGACCGTACAGTGCCACGAGATCTGATGACCGTACAGTGCCACGTGACCTGATGACCGTAGAGTGTCATGTTTCATACACATATCACATTATAGATATTGCGGACACATTTTAGCATTTTTAAATTGTACGCCTTTTTGTTTGTTTGTATAAATAAATACATCTTTGAGAAATAGATTTGCAGGATTCGATCTTATGACCAAACAATAGTTGTTTTTTTAAAAATAATTTGTGTGTGCTCGTGTGTGTGTGTGTGTAAAGTAACATGGGTACAGTGTTTCTTTCAGGCATGCCTTGGGGAGGGGGGCGCCACATTTTGGATATTTTTTTTGGGTGGGGGGCAGTTCCAGTGATCAGAGGCGTAGCTAGGGGGGAGGGGACAGATTTTCCCATGCACCTGACCAGCAGGGGCAACAAAATGGGCTTTGATAGTGTTTAGTTGATGAAGATAATGGGTTTTATAAAAGGAAAAAAAGAGGGGTGGGAGTAAAAATAAATCTTGTCCCCTGGCGCCCAACCCTTTAGCTACGCCTCTGCCAGTGGCGTAGGAAGAGGTGCGGATGGGGTTGTCAAGCCCAGTTATAAAACGGAATAGGCACACAATAGGCACACAATAGGCACACAATAGGCACACAATAGGCACACAATAGGCACACAATAGGCACACAATAGGCACACAATAGGCACACAATAGGCACACAATAGGCACACAATAGGNTATATTTATATGTACCACTCACCACAGGCTAGTACAAGTATCAATATTTAACCTTTTGCAGCTGTGTGCAGTATTTGCCTTAAGATGATGGATTTCTATCTTAGCCTTAAGTAGCCTATTCCTATAGCATTATATAACACAACAGGGTCAAAGTCCACACTACACACCGATCTGGGCTATAACTATTTAAAACAAAATTAAATGAACATAATTTATACAGTATTATTTTTTTTTTGTTAATCAAGTAATTTAAACATTTCTGGAACTTTTGTTGAGAAATTCTTCTGACAACATTGTCTCAAATACTGTAACTATTAAAAATAGAGAAGAATTTGTAAATTTAATAAACATAAGCTGAT